CCCCCCCCCTTTGACTTTAGCATTAATGTCATGAGTAATCTCTTGAGTGAGCAGAACATTATCAAAAATACTTTTACCTTTCACAAAACCAGTTTGGTTGTGGGATATGATTCTAGGTAAAATATTAACCAATCTAGAAGAAATGATTTTAGAAATAAGCTTGTTAAAGAAAGAACATAAACTAATAGGTCTAAAGTCATTCTAATCATTAGTGAGCTCCTTTTTGGGAATTAACACAATATTAGTAGAATAAAAAAAATTGATGTAAGACTGGCTTACCTGAAAAGAACTCATTAACAGCTTCCAAGATATCCAACTTGGTGATATGCCAAGTTTTAACAAAAAATTTAGTAGTAAAACCATCAGGACCCGCAACCAAGTCACCATTCATAGTTTGCATAATATTCCAAACTTCCTCCTCCAACGGAGGTTGAGTTAACATGATATTATCACTATTAGAAATGCAAGAAGGAACAATATGAGGATTAACAATGTAAGAAGTGTGAAAATTTTTATTGAAAATGTTCATGAAATGCTCAACCCCCGAGTTAACAATAGAATCTTCATCTTCCAAAATCGTACCCTCTTTGTTCATAATTTTAAAAATATGGTTCCTAATTTTTTTCATGTTAGACATAGCATGGAAAAATCGAGTATTTCTATCACCCTCAATCACAAATTTGGTCGTAGCTTTCTACTGCCAATAAGTTTCTTCTTGATCATGAAGATAAAAAAGTTTAATATTAGAACTGTTGAGATCAGAGAGATTAATGCTATCAGGATTAAGAACAAACCTCATTTCTAACTCCATCACATCATTTTTGGCCTCTTTGATATTAGAAAAAAGATTTTTGAAAACATTTTTACTCCATCATCTAAGCACCTGTTTCAGCCTACTAATCTTGTTCCACAACTTAGCCATACCAGAAATATTATTATCAGGGAAAACGGGGGCATGCCAATTATTGTGCACCACATTTAAAAAATCATGATGAGATAATCACATATTCTGAAATTTAAAAGCAGAAGGAACAAACTCCTTGTTAGCATTGATAGTTAAGAGCAAAGGAGCATGATCAGAAGTAGTTCTACTTAAATGTTCAACATGAGTCATATAAAAATTAGCAATCTAATCATTATTAAATAAAATTCTATCAGGTCTTTTCCAAAGATTACCTCTACTCCAAGTAAAAGCACCTCCAAAAAAACCAATGTCATGTAAATCACAATGAGCTATCATGGAATTGAAGTCTTCCATAGCTTTAGTATTAGGTTGACTCCCACCCAATCTCTCGTTAGCATTAAAAATAATATTGAAATCACCTCCCACACACCACTGGCCCAATAGAATTGGAAGCAAAGTTGCTCCCAAAGAGAAAGCTGATCCACTCTAGAGCAAGCACGGCATATACAAAAGAAGCATTACTCTTGAAATTAAATATCTCAATTTGAACATGAACAACTTGAGAATAATCCTTAATAATATTAATCTTAATCGCATTATTCCACATAATTTTGTATTCATCAGGTTTCCAAGAATGAAGGTTGTATTTATAATAGCAATAAAAGTTGATTTGATCAGCAATAAAGTCTGATTTGATCATGTCAGCAATAAAGGCTAATTTGCTTGTGTCAGCAATAGAGCAGTTAGCAAATTTATTAGAAAAACCCAATTTAGAAGCAGTGCCGTTAAGTTTATCAGAGTTAATCATAGGTTCAAGTAAAACCAACAAGTGAATGTTATGAATTCTACAAAGATT